GTTAATACCCCGAGGGGATGTGAGGCCTCTTTCCTGGGGAGATAGTGGAAGTGAAAGCCTGGCTCCTCAAGGATGAGGCTTGACTGTACACCCCTGCCCCCCAAAAATCTAGCTGAATGGATCATTATACTTTAGGAGTCTTTGTGGTGATTCCAGCTATTGCCCAGCACCTTCCCCTGGCACAGGAAACTTGATTCTGTTCAGGTTGTTCAGCTTCCTCCTAGTTCGAGCCATCCCGAGGAGCACGTTACCATGCAAGCACAGCGAGCCATAGCACCGGAGGACGTAGTTCTCACAACTAAGGCCAGATCCTCAAAGGTATTTAGGCACCTAAAGCCCTGTGAGGATCTGGGCCTGTCTGTCTATCCCCAGACGTAGCTCTAGCGAGGTTTTTATAACCTGCTTAGCACTGTGCCATCCTGCATCAGGTTCGCTCTTCAGAGACGCGGTGTTGTCTCTGAGACCTTACATTGTTCTGAGGAGGGTGGGTGGCACTAAAAACCTTTAAAACATTCAAACTTTAACTATTGGTGAGATTTTTAAAAATAATTATTTTAAAAACAGGAAAGGGGAACTTTAAAAACACAGTTATGCGTCAGGACAGATTGCGGTGGTCTCTTTATTGCGGTGCAGGGTTTACTTATGGGGCTCCAGTCTGGACTTTGCCTTCTGTTCCTTTGGGTCTGCTCCATTATTATAGGGCAGGAGTGAGCAACAGCCATGGGTATTAAATACACACAAGGGCCCTGTATTAATGGCTTCACAGCGTGATATTGCGGGTAGCCGTGCATTTGGAGGTTACCTAGTGTGCAGGAGAAAAGAGAATTTCCCTGGACCCTTGCATTGTAGCAGAATAGGGTAGTACCTATTTAAATAGTTTGTGAGCCCTCTAGTGGTGCTCACTGTGGGCTGTTTTAAAAGCCATTGACCAGAGCAGCAGGAGGTATTATTCAGCTAGACGGTGCACATTTGTGTATAGTTCGTAAGCAGGGTTATCTGGAACCCAACGATCCCTGCAGGATTTCTTCACATCATTTTTGTTGTGCAAATGACAAAATACCAGTCAGCCCTATCGTTTTCATTTTGGGCTGGGTCTCCCCCATACAGTTAAGTTTCCCTGCTGCTGCAGGGTCCCTAAATGCCCAGACTCTCTCTGGTGCTCTTGCACCAGTGGTAAGTGAGCAGTTTTAAAACCAAACTGCTTAACCCCCAGAAAGACTCACCATCCTTTCACGTCAGGAAAATGCAGCCCCAAGCTTGGCTAGGAGCGTATCACCTTCCTTTTTATTTTCTTTGGGGATCGTGTTTACCGTAGAAATCTGTGCCTTAAGCCAGATGGCGTCTAGAAGAGATGCTGCGCTCAGTGCATACGGCATCAAGCCGCACACTGCGCTTGGGAAAGAGAGATCGTCACATGCGTGACGGGGGACAAGAACTACACGTTAGCTGGTGCCAGTGATTTCTCCACCTCTTCTGTGTCTTGGCCTCATGTTACAACAGACAAGTGTTGCTCCCTGCCCCCCAAAGAGCCACAAATACAGGGAGGATGGTCACGACCCCTTGCAACCTGTTGGCAATGGTTGACAAACTATGCACCGGTCCAGTGGTTAGAGTAGGGGAACTGCCTGCCTTGTTTTCATTCCCGGCTCTGACTCCAACTCACTTTGTGATCCTGGGCACATGCGCATCTTTGGGCACATAAATCTGTCTCCGCCTCAGTTTCCCCATCTGTCAAATGGGGTAGTGATACTTACCCACCTGACACAGAGGGTTACAAGACTTAGCTAAATCAGCATTTGCTCAGCAACTTGTGGTCCTTGGAAGGTGGTCAGTGTTCAGACATGGTTAGCAGGGGTTAAAGGGGCTGCTGTCTGAGGAATGGACTTTAACAGAGCTAGCAGCCCGATTTTTAAAAGTAGCTGTAGCTAGTAGTATTTTCAAAAGCACCTATGCACCTAACTCCCATTGGAGTCACTAGGAGTTAGGCCTCTAAATACCTTTAAAAAGCTGGTCCTCCCTGGGCAGTGTTTGGCTAAGTGATGCCAGTGCGCTCTGTGAATATGTGCAAACCAAAGGGAAAGAGTTACTGTGTTGGGGTGGGTCAAGGGGCCTTTCCCATCTTAACGCACAGACCTAGCCACGTGTGTTGTCAGTGTTTAAAACTTATCATAAACACAGTCGATGAACGTGAACCATTAATGAATGAACTAATTAATCAGTGAACCAGGTCCTCTCTTGTGGATGCGTAAGAACAACGAAGTTACCCATTTTTGAGCCGTGCTAACAAAAAACCCACAAAGGATGTAGCCCCTTATCTGCTGTACTTTGCTCTGAGTGTGCTGTGGGCTCGATTCCCCCTAGCCAAATGTGGGGGCATGGGGTCTAGTGGTTACAGCACAGCTGTGAAGGGTTCTACTCCTGCGTCTGCCTCTGACCTGGTGTGTGTCCGTGGCCAAGGCTGCAGAAGGGGGGCAGTTATTACTGCCTCTCGGGTGCTGGGCAGCTTAGCAGGTGTGTGAGCGGCACTCTGTCCTACCCGCCGAGGGCAGCTGCTCCCCAGACCATGCCTGGTCTTTTCAAGGAGCAGAGGAAACTGCTTCCTCCGCAGCATCTCTGCCTACAAGGGTCACACAAGTCAGAACAGTTTGCACCTACACACTGGCGTCGATCTGGGCTCCGTGTCGCTGTCTGTCCCACGCGCAGGGACACAGTGTTCAGGAAGGGCCTATGTTTTTGGGATGCCCTGACCTAGAAAAGTGTTTAAGGTACAATTCCCGCCTGGGCGGAGGGTGGCTTAGGCATCACTGAGTCCCCCTTCAGCCCCGAGGTAACACAGAGCCGAGTGATAGGATCCTGTTCTTGGATTTATGTGCAGCTTCGCGGGCAGGGGCCAAAACTACGCCCGAACTTGGTGCAGAGGTGGAGGCACAGGCTTCGGGGCAGGGCACTAGGCGTGGGTGTGCATGTGCAGCGCCTTGCACTGTGGAGCAGAGATCCTTGACGTACACGGCATAAGACATTAGTTAAGTCAGACCCCTTTGCTGGCTCACCATGGCAGATTACACACTGCAGCCTCCTGGCTTACGAGTGTATTTATCAGACTAAGCCAGGAGCGCCTGTTTCCCATCCTGGGATGGGAACTCCCCGTCACAGGAGCTGGTGCTAAGCTCCACCTGGGGCCCTTGCTAGCACCTCCTCCACGCTGCACAGAAAAGCAGCAGTTCTGCTGTGGACGTAGGTGCTGACTTTTGGTTTTGCTGGTGGGTGCCCACGCTCCCGAGACCCTCTCCCCTGAGCGCCTCCTGCCTGCTCGTTTCTGCCCCCTCCTGCCTTAAGGGCAGTGAGGGGGAGAGGAGACAGAGAGGAGCGAGTGGAAGGGCAGCCCCACGCAACGGCTCATCGGTGGCACGGCCTCGCTCAACAGTTGATCAGTGGCACAGCTGATGCGGGCGCAGGGCCAGCGGCTGAACAGCTGGCTGGCGGCCAGCCCCGGGACCCACAGAGCAGCAGCCCTGGCCAGCCCCGTGGGTGCTGAGCACCCCCTGTTTTTTCCTCTGTGGGGGCTTGAGCCCCTGAGCACCCACGGAGTCGGCGCCTGTGGCTGCGGAACCTTCTCCGTGGTGCTTGCAGCAGATGGCTGGAATTGAAACAGAAAATTGCTACAAGCTCCCAGTGTCACCGTGAGCAGCCACGGCTCGGCTGCTCACCCGCAGCCAGCCCCCCCCAACCCACCTCTCCCTGAAGAACTAAACCAGAAATGTTTCCTGGGCGACATGCGGACTCGGACATTTGGCACGGAGTCCGGACAGCAGCGCTCCTCCCTTTACAGTTGCAGCAAGTGAGAAGCATTGTCCGGCGAAGCTCCAGGCCAGTGACATGGGGACAGTCAAACAAGCATGGGCCTACCTCCATGGACGATGGTTACTCTGGAGTAGCACCTCAATGCCCCAGCACGCCAGGCACTGTCCACAGCTGTGGACAGACATGTTCCCACATGGCTTATTGCCTAGCCAGACGAGAGAGGCAAAGCTGGAGAGAGGAGAGCAGAGAAGGGGCCAGTGACTTGCCCAAAGTTAATGGCAGAGGCAGGAATAGAACTCAAGGCTGCGGCCTTCATGGAGTCACTGAGGCAGCACCTGTGGTGGAGAGAAAGGAGGGATGTGTCTTTGATCCCCCTTAGGGAGCACTCCCTTCTTGAAGCACCTTCCCCTAACCCCTCACGGAGTCAGAGAGCCAGTGAGCCCCTTCATTCAGCTATTGACCCGGGTCCTGCCTTTGCCGCTGGGAGTGTTCAGTCATCACCCCTCCCACAGCAGTGACCAAACAATTGCTACCACCTGGCAGTTGTTCAGTGGCCTTTCTATGAAATGAGTTTGTAGGTTCTTTGCCCAGGTCCGAAGGCAAGTATCTAAACCACAGAAACAACCCCTATAATTTTGTTCCCATCTGAAGCTGGGCAAAGAGCCCAAGGTGTGGGAATGGTCCACCGAGACTGAGCTCCCCCATTTCCCTTAAAGGTGGATCCTCCAGAGACATATTAACAGTAGGGCAGTGGGGGGGGAACACGCAGGCTACTGCTGCATGGAGCAGGACCTACCCTGAGGTTTTCAGAAGCTGCCAATCCAGCAACTTTCACCTATATTAAAATGTTTACAGAAAATAAAGTGAATAACTACGCCCCGCACACCTTGTATAGTGGCTGCTCGTATGAAGCCAAGAGGCCTCCAGTTAACATCTCAGCAGCTCTCTCATGTCCTGCTAAATGTGAAACTTTCCTTGCCAAGATGATTATTCTTTTTACAATAAGTTCCTTTCCAACTTTAATCCCATTAAGTGCCGTCCATTTGTTCTTCCCCTCCTAAGCCTGCGAGGATCCTCGTGGCACTCTATTCCTCCCTGTGATCTGCTGAGCTCTGGCCTCTGGAAGAAAATGAAAAGCCTAGAGAGAAATTCAAGGCCAGCAGAAATGAAAGGGAATCAGGTAGATGTTTATCCAGCCATAGACAAAAAAAAAAAAAAACCTGGCCAAGCAAGAAAATCTCCACAATAAACTGCCAAGAACAGTCTCCACAAGCCACATGCCCAAGAGAAGGTCTTAGACCACCACATGTACAAGACCAAAGTCCTAATGCATGACACATGGTAGAGCTCATTAAGGATTTTGAAGACGAGGTGATCTAAATGTAAGAAGCCGGTTTGATATGTCTTGGAATCTTCTCTGATCCGCATTTTCTGGGTTACTCAACACACCGAATGTTTGGATGGGTGCTATCGATTTAGAATGTAATGTTGCCAACCTCTCTGGTGGCCACTGGAATTTGTTGCGTGATTTCCTGTTCATATTCCCTGGCAACCCCAACTGAAGCTGAGTGTCTTTGTTGTAAACTGCCCTATGGGGGGGGCTGGTAGGACAAGGGAAAGGAGCTGCTTCGTAGGGTAAACTCTTTGGGCTGCCCTCACAGAATGAGGAAGGGTTGAGTCGTTCCACGGCGTGAAGACAGAGAAGAGTGAGTTCAGAGAGAACATGGTGATGGTGTGTTCAAGGTGGGAAGATAGTTGCTGTCTTGTAAAAGGTCTCCAGAAACAACAGCCATTGTTTGGCCATAAGAGTTAACTGTATTTCCACTGGAGAGGAGAGGCAGTGAGCATTAAAGGTGTTTTTCCCCCCCACACCTTATCAGGTGCTGACCACAGCTGCAGATGGGATGGTGGACTAGATAACCATTGGCCCAATCTACCATGTATATAATTAGTCTGTGAAATTCGCTGTCACACGGCATTACTGAGGCCAACAGCTCAGCAACATGGGAAAAAAAAGGATTAGTCATTGTTATGATTAACAAAACCTCCCACAGGTATAGTAACTAGGATGACAATTCATCAGGGATGTATCAACCCTCATGGTTCAGGGCATAGACCAACCACTGGCTGCTTGAGGTGAGGAAGAAACTTCTTTTCACTGGCACATTATTCCATCACAGGCCATTATGAAATTTCTTGCACCTTCCTCTGAAGCAGCTGATGCTGGCCACTGTCAGAGACCAAGCTAGGTGGACCACTGAGCTGAAAATTCTTTTGTTCTGGAATTAGGTTGAAATCTTCCTTCTGGACCTGAGGTGAGACCTTCTGCGGAGGCTCTGTCTATTGTTTTCCCTCCCAGACAATCCAGGTGGCTGTTTCCATTAGCATTCATGGTAGTTTTGCTCATACACAGAGGGGAGCGCATAACCCTTTGCTATTGCTGTGAAAAGCAGACTCTCCAAGACATGCGTCTGTGGTAAGACACGGTCTCTTGAAATTGGATACCGTTGGGGCTGTAGTGTCCCAATTTTCTCTGTGCTAATGTCCCCGGTTTGGTTTTCCTGTCTGCTTTCTTGGCTGCCTGCAAGCTGGCAACTCACATCTGGCTTTTTCTTTTGGTGAGGTTTTTTTTTTCCTGCCCCCTCCTTCATGGGCTCAGCTGTATCTCCATGTTCTGATTCCATGCGAAATGACCTAGAAAACTAATTCTTTACAAACCATAGCATCCAGCACAAGAAGAAAAGAAAAAAACCCCACATATTGAAATAATTTTCCTGGGAAGATATTTTCCAGAAATCTGCTTCAGCACACAGTTTAAATCTTTCTTTTTTCTCGGCTGCAGAAATCCAGAGGCGATGTCTTGATAGACAAGTATTTCCTTAATCAAGATAAACGTGTGACCTCTATTAGAGCAGAGGTTGTGGGCAAGTCTTTGATATGCAGATAAGCTCAGGAAAGCCTAAGCCCTGAAAAGGTTTCCATTAACGAAAGAAAAATAACCACATTTCCAGACTTGGTTGAAATGACCAGCGCTAATTTTTGTACTTAAAGGAAAAGCCCCCTTTGATACTTAGGCCTTGTCTGCTGCCTTTATTATTTTTACCACCTGTGCCTTAAATCTCATGTAATCTTTCCCCATTGACTGAGCAAAATCTCCTAGTGTTGGCAGATCCATCCAGCCCCACAGTTTCCTTGCTTTTATGTCCTCAGCTCAGCACACTGACTCCCCAGTCTCCAGGGGGTGGACCTGGCTCTATTCCCAACACAGATTCTGTTTCTCTCCAGCACCCACTTCTCTTTTACCCTCCCCTCCTGGAACTTTTGAACCTCCTTTGCCCAGAGCATTGAACCAGGCAGCCCCAGACCTTCCCTTAGCTTTTAGAATCATAGAATCATAGAATATAAGGGTTGGAAGGGACCCCAGAAGGTCATCTAGTCCAACCCCCTGCTCGAAACAGGACCAATTCCCAGTTAAATCATCCCAGCCAGGGCTTTGTCAAGCCTGACCTTAAAAACCTCTAAGGAAGGAGATTCTACCACCTCCCTAGGTAACGCATTCCAGTGTTTCACCACCCTCTTAGTGAAAAAGTTTTTCCTAATATCCAATCTAAACCTCCCCCACTGCAGCTTGAGACCATTACTCCTCGTTCTGTCATCTGCTACCATTGAGAACAGTCTAGAGCCATCCTCTTTGGAACCCCCTTTCAGGTAGTTGAAAGCAGCTATCAAATCCCCCCTCATTCTTCTCTTCTGCAGGCTAAACAATCCCAGCTCCCTCAGCCTCTCCTCATAACTCATTTGTTCCAGACCCCTAATCATTTTTGTTGCCCTTCGCTGGACTCTCTCCAATTTATCCACATCCTTCTTGAAGTGTGGGGCCCAAAACTGGACACAGTACTCCAGATGAGGCCTCACCAATGTCGAATAGAGGGGAACGATCACGTCCCTCGATCTGCTCGCTATGCCCCTACTTATGCATCCCAAAATGCCATTGGCCTTCTTGGCAACAAGGGCACACTGCTGACTCATATCCAGCTTCTCGTCCACTGTCACCCCTAGGTCCTTTTCCGCAGAACTGCTGCCTGGCCATTCGGTCCCTAGTCTGTAGCTGTGCATTGGGTTCTTCCGTCCTAAGTTCAGGACCCTGCACTTATCCTTATTGAACCTCATCAGATTTCTTTTGGCCCAATCCTCCAATTTGTCTAGGTCCTTCTGTATCCTATCCCTCCCCTCCAGCGTATCTACCACTCCTCCCAGTTTACCATTCACAACTCCTTCTAAAGCCAGGACCGACAGCTAGGCCTGTGCGTCCAGCATCTGGCATTCAGAGCATCTGTCTGTCCATGGGCTAGTGAGTGCTAGCAAGGCAGTGGGTGTAGCTTGAAGCTTTTCTCTCAGATGGTGGATGGGTGGGTGGAATGTAGATAGACAGCTTCCTCCTCTCCCTACGTTTGCTTGTGGGGCTGCAGGCCTAGAAAATCCAGGATCAACTAGAATTTTTTGTTAAAACTCTCCCCTTGTGGAGTATGAAAAGCAATCAGAAGACAGCATCTTTCTTTCGTTTTCTGTTTGTTCCTTGTCTGTCCTCAGTGCAGTGTGACTCATCAGCTTTCCCATCCAGCAGCTTACAATCACCAAACACAGTCTGCATGCTCCTCCTTCCTCCCCATAGTGTCATACTGGGATTGTAGCCTATGTACAATTCCATAAACTAGGAGCAAACAGTTGGGTGGTTTATACGATTGGCCATGGGAGAATTTTGTGCTGGGCTGTACCCTGCAAATGCAAGTCATTGGTTTAAACCTGGCTGATGGCAGGAGTCATGACCCAAAGCCAACCTGGGCTGAGGGACAGCATGGTTCAGAGGACAGTGCACTGGATAGGGACAGAAGTCCTTGGTTCTTTTCCCAGCTCTGCTGTGTGACTTTGGGCAAGTCAGTTCTCCACTCCCACCCTTTGTCCATCTAGATTGGAAGCTCTTCATGTTAGCATTGTCTCCTGCTGTGTGTACAAACAATGCCCAGCACAATGGGCCCCTAATCTCAGCTGGAGTTACTAGGTGTTACTGTCATATAAATCATTAGATGGTTCTTCCCTGTGAAATGAGTTTGGGCTCTGTTCTGCTACCAAGCAAATATGGCATGGTGCATGAAGTGCATTATAAATTTGGCCCTTTCACCTTAGAGCCCGTAGTTTGTGAGGCAAACTAGAAATGGCCCAATAAAGTAATCTTAACTCCTAATAGGTGGGTAAATCAATGCACATCAAAAAGTAAACCCTTTGACTGCACAAAGTTTAGAAGGACAGCTGAATGGACAGAAACCTCTCTTGCTAAACGCAAATGTGATCCAAATGCCTCCAGGTGCAGCCTCTTCCATTTGTAAACAGGGATTGTAGAGACACATGGTGTATACAGATACCAGAATTGAAGTAGGAAACAAACCTCCCATGTAAACAGCATCCAACGGTTTGAGACCCATTTGAGGTCTATCTAGCCACTGAGAATACCTTGTTACATAAACTGAGACACAAAGGGCCAGATGCTGCCCTGGCACCTGATGCTTCTGGGGGTCACTTTTATAAAGGTTGGCTGATGTAGCCAGTTTGCTACATTTTGGCCACATTTGGCTATAAAGTCATAGACAGGGCAATGAGAAGTCTTTGCCAGCCAGAGTCCCCGGTTTTTGAAACGTGTATAAGTAACCATCAAATGTCTCTTGTCTATCAAACCCACCTGGGACAAGTGCCAGTCAAATGTTTCACCCCTCTTCTCAGGTGGGAAGGGATGCCATGCCGAGGCTACCTGGTCCGGGGACTCATGGTGCGCCTGCACCAATAGCCTACATTCTCAGTGTGTTTCAAGTTTCCTCCCCGATGCGACCCTCCATAGGCAAGCGGGACTCTGCCAATGATCACAGACCCATCTTACATGAATGCACAAATGACAAACCAATTAACTAGCTGCTCTCCCAAGAAAATGTCCTAAAGTATAGTAGTCAGCCTAGTAAGAGAAAACCATTATAGGACTAGAGAAGCCCAAGATTTTAAGGGCGGCTCAATCATTCAGTGGATTGGTGACAGGGTACCGTTAATCTTGGCTGTGGCTTTCAATGCCAACACTCTTTCGAGTCCAGCCCAGAGCAGTAGTGACTGAAAGCCATTACCCCCTGATGGCTCTCTTGTAGCCAGTATGAATTATTTGGGGGGGAAGTCCTCAGGTCCTAGGGAACATGTAAAAACAGCCCCCTAAAAATCACCCTCACAGCTGATGCTAATTGGCATGCTTAGTAATACTAGCAGTGGAGAAATTAAGGGTTGGCAGGGACCCTGGAGGCTAGTCAATGGTCGTTTCTAGTGATAGTTCGGCAACAACAGGCCTTAAGCTCATTGGTGGGGCAGCGTGTGACGCCTCCTCTGTCACATTTCTAAAGGAATGTCAGGCTTGTGAATAAGGCACTGGGACTAAAGAGATGTGGATTCGGTCCCCACCTTTGCCAAGACCTCCTGTGTAACCAAGTCACTTCGGTCCTGATCCTCAGAGGTATTTAGGCACCTAAAGCCCATTGATTTCAATGGACCTTACGAGTCTAAATACCTTTAAGGCGCTGGGCCTTAAGCTCTTTATGCCTCAGTTGCTCATTTGTTGATGGGCCTAATTACCAAGGTGCATAAAAATCAATTATTTAAAAAAAAATCAGATTTTTTTGATAAAATGCTTTTTGAGGAAAAAAACCTATCTAAAGATAGTTTTAATTAAGATACATTATAGCTCAAAGATATCTCATCATGGAATAGGGATTATAAATTCTAATTCTATAGTATGAGACAATATATTCAAGTAATGTTTAAGAAAAGTTTTGTAAATGAGTTCTAATAGTTCATGGATTAGGGACCCAATCTGATGGGGTTCCAGGGGCTTCTGTACAGATTATTTAGGTTAATCTTTCTATCTACCCAGTGGGACTCAGTGCTCAGTCTAGAAGATACCATCAGATGCTTAGTTTTGCAGTTCTCAAACTGTGGATTTGTGTCTCCAGAGGTAACATGCTTGTTAACAGCAAAAATGTTTTTAAATAAATGATATAGAGAGGGGAGAAATAACGGACCTCAACCCTATTGTCCCTCTGCAAATTTGTGTACACAGAGTCAATCCCTTATCTCTCTTTAAAAGTGCAAAGTTTCAAAAAGTTCAATGAATGGAAGATTGTTGGGGGCGGAATAGATCTGGAAAAGGAGAATTCTGGAGATAAATGTAAGAAGCGAGGGACATATGCTTTTTTGTTAAAATATTATATATTTGCTGTTGAAGAAGAAAATCCTTAAAAAATACTTAACATTGTTGTTTTAGTTAAATAAAACAATTTAAATGTCTGTGTGGTGATGTTCTCCTCCTAATACAGCATGGCAAGAAAATCCTCCAAATATTAATGATTAACCGGTTGAGCTGAAGATAGTTCACCTCCCAATGACTTCATAAATATCTGCTTCAATTACCTTTGGTAAATGAAATAACCAAACAATCATTCATTTTCTGATATAGCTGTAAAACTAATTGGAAAAGTTTTCAAAATAAATCACTGTTTAAAAACCTATACTGTGTACCTTCTAAAAATGAAACCTACATCTATCTCTGAGTTCTGAAGAATATGTATTAAGGTTATAACAACCAACAAGAATGCACTTTTATGTAGAAAACCATGATTAAATTGAGTCTTCCTGATTAGTGATTTAAATCAATCATTATTTAAATCAAATGCACCCTGCTAATTACACTCCTTCCTTTTTGACTATTTTACATGTTTAAAGGGTAAGCTGTTTTTGAGCATGGACCCGCTTACTCGCTGTTTGGATGGTGTCGAGCACAGTGAGGGGCCCAGTCTTGTTGCGGGTTCTAGGTGCTACTATAATATCAACAGTAATAATGACTCTATGCCATAGATTTTTTTTTTTTTGCAACCCAAACACTGATTATCTGTGAATTTGGTGAGCATTGTTATTCTTTGTAAATGACTATATTGCTCATTGAAGATGCCAGAATGATAACTCTAGATGCTGTTAGAAGCATCAGTGGGGAAGCCCAGGGGCCTCTGAAACTATCAAAAATGTCCAAGAGTTAGCCCGCAGTCCAAAAAATATCATGGCTGATACTATTAGCCTTGTCCCCACACTGATATCTGCCTTTTAAGCAGACAGCAGGGCTTCCGCAAAGCCACCATCTTTAGTCTCAGTAAAAGCTACAGGTTCATGCTTTTCCTTTTGCATTTACCTTGAGCACAGGGAGTCTGAATTGTTCATGTCTATTCAGTTTTTTTTCACATAGTTGGTTGAGCAGATTGGGCTGACTCTCCACTGAATGTTCAAGTACCTGATGGGACTTGTTTTAGCTACTTCTAAATCAGCCATAAATGATCATGTGTCCAAACAGGGTTCTTTTCATCTGGTGCTAACTTATATTCCTACAACCCACCATTAAAGCAAAAGGAGCCCATGTGTGTGTAACTTATTTCTGGTTAATGAGACCCCATCCCCAGGCTTTCAGAGCACCTTTCATTTCCGTCATCAGCGGGAGGGTTTATAGCAATAATCTCCACTTAACAAGGCGGTACGGCTCAGAGCCTCAAAAGGTATTTAGGAGCCTAAATCCTATTGAAATCAGTGGGAGTTAGCCTCCTAAATCCTTTTGAGGCTCTGGGCTGTGACTTCACTAACAATCAGCACTAGCCACAATGGCTTCTCTTCTCATGACGCTGAGGTTCTGCTTCTTCTGGTAGTGGGTGGCCTTTCCTCACTTATCCAGTAAGGATTTGGTATCTCTTGCTCTTAACAGACATGCCACCGCTCCTGCCGATGGATCTCAAAGGGGAGCCAGGCCCCCCAGGAAAGCCAGGACCAAGAGGACCTCCAGGCCCCCCAGGCTATCCAGGAAAACCAGGCACTGGGAAACCCGGACTTCATGGCCAGCCAGGCCCTGCTGGGCCCCCTGGATTTTCTGGTGTTGGCAAACCAGGTATCCCAGGGCTTCCAGGAAAGGCAGGTATGAAAGGGATGCCCGGCCTCAAAGGTGAACCCGGCATGAGAGGTGAGCAAGGCCAGAGAGGATTACCTGGCCCGCCAGGATTGCCTGGGCCAGCAGGCATCTCAATCAATGGGAAACCAGGCATGCAGGGCACTCCAGGCCTACCAGGATTTAGGGGTGAGCCTGGCCCAAAAGGGGAGCCAGGGCCTCGGGGGGAGCGTGGCTTAAAGGGTGAAAATGGTGTTGGGAAGCCAGGGTTTCCAGGTCCCAGAGGAAATGGAGGGCCCCCTGGCCCCGCTGGGCCTCCAGGGCCAAACGGCATTGGGAAACCAGGGTTTGATGGCTTACCAGGTGCTCCAGGGGAGAAAGGCGAGATGGGTCCATTTGGAGCCCCTGGGATCAATGGGGAACCTGGGCCGATGGGTCCACGGGGTCCACCAGGCATTGATGGAATAGGCATCCCAGGGGTCGGAGGGGTTCCGGGTATGCAAGGCCCTGTGGGGCCAAAGGGAGAACCCGGTATCCGTGGCCTTCCCGGTTTACCTGGGCCTGCAGGCTATGGGAAACCGGGTCTGCCAGGCTTAAAAGGAGATCGTGGGCAACCTGGGGTCCCAGGAGCCATTGGCGACAAAGGGGAACCAGGCATAGATGGGGAAGCAGGTGAGCAGGGCCCTCAGGGTGTCACTGGAGCCCCAGGGATGCCGGGCTCCATGGGCTTGCCGGGCAAATATGGGCTGCCAGGCCTCAAAGGTGAGGTTGGGTTACCTGGGCCCCCAGGAATACCAGGGATGCGTGGAGACCAAGGGCCAAATGGTTTTGCAGGGAAACCAGGGGTGCCTGGAGAGAGAGGTCTGCCTGGGTCACATGGACCCCCTGGCCCCACAGGCCCAAAAGGAGAACCAGGCTTCACAGGGGTTCCTGGAGTGCCAGGGTTAACAGGTAGCCTGGGACCAAAGGGGGATGTAGGAATTCCAGGCCAGCCAGGCCTGAGGGGCCCATCTGGTATTCCAGGCCTACAAGGCCCTTCTGGTCCCATGGGGCCACAGGGCTTACCAGGGCTGAAAGGGGAACCTGGCCTCCCAGGCCCTCCAGGTGTGGGGAAGGTAGGGGAGCCTGGCATTACAGGACCCATTGGCCCACCAGGAATACCAGGGACACGTGGATTAAACGGCCCCCCAGGACCACCAGGGCCGCCTGGTCCCCCCGGGGCACCAGGGGTGTTCGACGAGACAGGCATTGCTGGGCTGCACTTGCCAGATGGAGGCGTGGAAGGAGCGGTGTTAGGGAATGGCAAGCCTGGGAAGCCACAGTATGGCAGAGGGGAGCTCTCTGCCCGGATAGCACCCGCTTTCACGGCCATCCTGACCTCCCCATTCCCAGCCTCTGGCATGCCAGTCAAATTCGACAGGACTTTGTATAACGGGCACAACGGCTACAATCCAGCCACTGGGATATTCACCTGCCCCATCTCCGGCATCTATTACTTTGCCTATCACGTGCACGTCAAAGGGACTAATGTTTGGGTGGCGCTTTATAAGAACAATGTGCCCGCCACATACACCTACGATGAGTACAAAAAAGGCTACCTGGATCAAGCCTCAGGCAGCGCAGTGCTCGAACTCAAAGAGAATGACCAAGTCTGGGTCCAAATGCCCTCGGACCAAGCCAATGGGCTGTACTCCACAGAATACATCCACTCCTCCTTCTCCGGCTTCCTGCTTTGCCCCACATAACAGCTGTTGGGTGTGTTTCCTTTTTACCCACTTTAGCCATAAACTGTCTTGTTTTTTTAATAATTTTTTTTAAAAAATAAAAGAAATACAAAAAAGAAAAATCACTGGGAAGAATGCGCAAGTCATTGGCACAGGATCTCGCTTCACATTGTTCACTCAAGGAGTCGAGAGGATAAGGGGAAAGGAGCTTTTGTTGTTTCTTTGGGGGAGGGGGCAAGTGTGGGAGATGTATTTGGAATAAATTTTACCTCTGTGACTGCACATCAAACACAGAAACCAGCTCGGGCTGGCTAGGATCTAGCTATGCAACTAAACTGTAAGAGGAGGAAAGCTGAAGAATCTAGACCCTTCTTGGTTTATAATCAAGTGCCCTTGTTCCCGCTGTTGAGTACTAGTTAAATAAATAAAACCATTTTGCGTATTCGTTAGCCAATCCAGGGGTCCTAAGCAATCTCAAATCTCTAGAGCAGTGGAAATTCCTGGTGGATTGACTATCCCCTTCCCAATCAATCATTTCCCCACATTTCAATCTCATTGACGCTTGAAGTCAGTCTCTCAGATTCAACCAGGGTGGGTGGATTTAGTCATCAAAAGGGGAACACTTTACAGAAGCACCTTTTTATAAGTAAATATTTAAGAAAAAAATCTTTAGGAACAAAAAACGTCATTAGTAGCACCTGGCAATAGGATGGGTACCAAATAGTCTCCAAAGCCATTCAGGGAATTTGGGACCCCTGTGATGAACAATGTTCCTTGACCTTGTATTAATTCCTGCATTGGCAAGTCAAAGGGCCAGTTCTATCACGTATATTTCTGTAGCCCACAGACTTGTTTGGGCTTATGAACATTATCTGAGAATCCAAGGATGGCACTGCAAGCACGGCTTACATTGCTACTAGCTGATTTCATGGAAGGTTTAGCTATGCTTTCTTTAAGGTGCCATTGATGGACATCTTACTTTTAATGTCTACCTTTTAGGATGTGTACACTTTTTTTTCCTTCCCCTTTGGGAACCTATTAAAAAAAAAGCATTCATTCTAACTTTTCATGCATTCATTTTACAACGGTGCTATTATCTACTTAATGTTATTTACAAGTATAGTGCAATAAGTCTCTTTGAAAGGTGCACTATTCTGAGTGCAGGTTTCTGTGACTTAGGAAAAAAATCATTTCACATTTGTCCTGTTACCACCACTTTGCCTCAATAATGCTTGAAATGTCATTGATATTAATATGGGTTACAAGGTTTATTACAGCTTTTGGTATGCACAGCTATTGATCACATGGCTGCTCTGGCCTTTGCTAACTGGAACAATTGAACCCTGTTGCTTTGCAGTTTGTGGTAAGGGTAAAATGGCTACAGACCATTGCATTCAAAAGTTACTAAAGAGATTCTTCTCTTCCTGGTTAGACAGAACGCTGCTGAAGTTAAGCCACATATAATATACTGAATTCCTTTCTACAAAGATGTGTTCCTAAGAAAACAGCTGAAATTCATTCAGTCAATAGCTCAATGTTCATTACTCTCAAATATCAATGATGCCTGTAATATGGCCAAAGGAGAGAAAAAGAGTAAGAATGTGACTTAATATTATTCTCCAGATTTATTGTAGATAACTATTTAAACATAGATTTTTTTTTTCTTAAACTACACTGTGTTTGTGTGTCTTGCCATCCAGGGCTTCCATTTATAAAAACACACCCTCCCTGAATTACAAAATAGGAAACAAAAAGAAGGAAGCTAAAGAAAAAACAATACCATAGCCTAAGATTTCAGACAGAATCTTTCTGGAATTGGGTCTCCCCTCCCCTTTGTTTTAGTTTTTATTCTGATTTACAGAAGCAGGTTGTGAAGCGATAGAACTTTTAACAAAGACAAATACGGCCTGGTATTTTGAATTCTGTCAGATGTTTTTAATTCCTGAAGGCAGAAGAATGTCAGAGCCATTCATGGCCCAGATTCTGTTGGTAATCGGTTCTTTGATTTCCCATTCAAAATAGGAACCATAAAGTAAAGACCTAAAATTTGAAGAGGAGGAGCTCAATTCCTCTCTTCAAATCTACACTTGAAAGGACAGTGCCAGCGTGGGGCTTCTGTCTCCTTGGTTTAAATGTATTTTCCTGCAGAGAACCACAATGAACTCAAGTTGATATTAGAGCAGACCCGTTCATTTCAGAGCAAAGAGGTCTCACTCCTTGTACCATGTAACACTGCCAGAGGCAGAGATGGTAACTTACATATGCTATCTGCAGTAGGGTAAGGAACTTCCACACCGTTGAAAATTCACTCAAGGGTGGAAGTTTAAGCCTGTTACTCGACAAAGCAACTTATTTATACTGTGTTCTAACCTACGTTCAGTCCTGGTTTGGTTTTGTTATTAATTCAATCCTCTGGTTCTGGCTGGCAAAAACAGTGACAGAAATGCACATTATAACCAAATGCAAATATTAACTCATTCAGTTCTGTAGAAAATATTTTGCAATTTCACTTTCCCTTCACGTGCAGAGCAGAAACCATAATCAACCTTCTGCAGCTCTATAACCTGTTACGTTTACACAGTAATTGAATGACAATGATATTACACACACAGGGAGGCTAGGAAACGATGCACAGGGTGAAGGAGGGAAGGTGTTCAATAAACCAGATATTGTCAGGAAGATTTCTTTTGAAGTATTTAGTATGTAATATTTGCCAGCGGGAAGGTTTATTTTCTGTCATGGGTGCGAGCACTTGGGATTTTGGTATCAGTCTCACACACACCAAATATGGTTGGGATGGATGAAGTTTGTCAATTTTTAACTATGAAAACTACATTACAGTGTGCATTTTTTATATACAAGTTCTTACTTTTTTTTAAAGTTTGCCTCGAGTATCTTCTTTTCTAACCTAGTATATAGAGGATTTTAGTTTTGTAAAAATACCTATTACATGCACTGTCTGTCATAGTAAAATTGGTTTAAAATGCCTTCTCTTTGATTGTGATCGGAAACTGGCCTCTTCAGAACTAAAACTACAGTACTTGATTGTATTGATGCAACATCAATAAAACTTATTGTATAAAAGATCATCTCAGCTGTGCCTTTGTCCTATTATGATTTATTTGTATTGCAGAAGCACCTACACATAGTAAGAGACAACCCCTGCTCCTGCTTACAGTCTGAACAGGCGAAGGAAAGATTAATATAGCCATTGTCCTGGGGACATGAGGCACAGGAATAGTCCTCCACTCACCCAGGCAGCCCATGTCAGGGCTCAGATTTGAACCCACACCTTCTGTAGCACCGGCCAGCACCCAAACTACAAGACAAAGCTTCTGTATTCAAAGTACTACTTCTGAAATACCCTTGTATAAGTCTGGCCATAATCGAAGGTCTCAGCTCATAGTATCCTGCCTGCCCTATGAGCTCTCCTTTGTAATATGCACAGCCTTAGATACAGAAGTCCTCACTTCTCTTCATACAACAGGAACACATCCTGGTCACTGGCAGTGAAACAGGTTTCCCCACAACACCCCACCAATGTGCACCCAAAGGAAGGGGTATTTAAGCCTCCATAGCCCATTCAGTCCATGGTTTATCCGTTAAGACTGCCACTGAGTGGACCAATTGGTGGCAAAGGTGTGGGTTGATTTTGGTAACGTAACTGACCCCCTAGGAACTGGAATGAGATCGCAGAACTGGCATAGGCTCAGGGTATCAGCTTTCATTCAAAGCCTGTCACCTCCAGGCTGCCCACTCAATTCAGACTTGGCTTGAGAGAATGAGAATAGGAGAGGGCATCTATCCTGCTCCTGATCAACACAGGAAACACTTATTCCACATTGCCACTACAGCACTGCAACAGTCCAGAAGTTCCTTAAAGGAAGATGGTGAAATTTGGGGCCTTCCAAATATTGCAACATTTTTTCCTCTTTTACCTGGCAATTATTAGGTTGAGGAATTTAAGGCACAAGAGTGAGTGCTCGAGTTTCCTTTCCTGGAAAAATGGGGTTCTGCTAGAAATTAAAAATGAACCCAACGCCAGGAGCTCACTCCCAAGCTACTTCTCAAGGAGAGAGCAGCATGTGCCTTCTATGCTGGGGAAGGAGACAGGAATTTGAAGTAAAAATGCAGAGTTTCTATTCAAGCTTCCAAAAACTATGAAGAGTACCAGACTGTGCTAACTGGTTATGACCACCCTTGCCACCATAACAAATTCCACTATGTATACGGACCATGCTACCCATTTACCTTCTTCCCCATTAAAAGAAGCCAGTGAGAATGCAGCTCAGTTCTTTGGGCTTTAAGCATCATTGATGATATCGGTTTGTTTTCTTCTCTCCTAATTGGGAATGTTGTTAACTATAGCCAACGAAACAGAAATGTGAATTTTAAGTTGACATGTTCCTTTAAACCCTGTTACATTTAGGGGCGTAAGACACTTTTGGTGCAAGACACTTTTGGTGCACTATACATAACTAATCTGAACTGATTCTAGCAGCAAGGCTCCAGCAGTTGACTCCTTTTCACCTATTGCTCCTTATTGCAAATATTTTCTACAAGCAAGACTCTGAAGCGAAAACTCCAGCACTGAAATACTTTGGGGGCATGCAATTGCCACTCAGGGCACGGTATGACTGATGCACTAAACTGCCTCTATCGTTAACAGGCGTTCCGCACTTTTACCATGACACTCACGCCATTCACTGCTTGTAAACAAAAGCAGCCATTGTGAGAACAGTTTTTACAGCAGATTTCAAGAATTAAACTTACTGCAAATGAAGCAGGAGGCCTGGCTCCTCACAAGATGCCACTAATTGGCCTGGAAATGCTTTCAGCCTGCTTTCCGGAGAAACATTTTTAAGAAACCGTAACAAAGCAGTTTCAGGCTGAGTGTTGAAAGAAGGGGGGGGGCGCAGAGGGGATAGCCTAAAGCTTTTCCTATGATTCCCCTTGTAATTTAGCCTCGCAAGGGGCTGGCTGCCCCCATACATGGAAATATATAGGCAGAGGGTAAAACTATAAATAGAATGACATACAATAAAGCCCAAAGGTGGCATTTAAAGTGCAGTTATGATCTAGTAAAATTACTGTCAACTTATCACATTAGTGCACTTAGGACTATTTTTGCACCCAGTGCAGCTTCCCCCACCAATGCTGCTCGGTAAAGGCCAAAA